ACTATGATGAAAGCACTAGACACCAGAGCCTATAGGATACATCTAAAACAGTATTCAGAGAAAAGTTCACAGCCTTGAAAATATTTATATTAATAAATAAGAAAAAATAAAAACAAATGCATTCAGGCAGTAAGCAACAATAAAATAAACCAAAGAAAAAAGATAATAGAAGGTGATAAATTATAAAAAAAGAATACAAACAGTAAGTGAACTAGAGAGCTCCTCTTGTGGGGAAATAAAACATAAAACTGTAACAATTAATTAGAAGGGAAAATGAGGAGTAGGGGATGGAGAAAGCATAAATACTACGTAGCCATTAAACAGAATGAGATAACTCTGCACATAGGTATAATATCCAATGAAAAAAGTAAGGGAGAGCTATCGTTTGTGCTTAAAAACAGGAAGGCCACATCGGCACAAATTATTACTGAAGCACAGGACATGTCAAGAGAATAGTCAAAGATGGTGCTGGAGCTCCACCCCGGGGGAGGAGCTGTGTAATGACAGGAACGGTAAAGTGACTTAAATTTCATTTATAAAATTTTAAAACCTATTCTAAAAAAGTAAAGTTTTTGAATTTTGTAGCATTAGACACATCACTTCTTTAAGAACTGATTATTAAAAATAAAATTTAATTATTTAGAGTCTCTAATGCTACTTAGAAGAACTGTGGGTACATCTTCTTATTGGGAGATAAGGGTTGAATCTATAGCCTGAGAAAGAAATGATGCGATTTTTATCTTACAAAATGCTCAATATTCACAAAGCACTCTCTCATCTGATTCTTGTAAGAAGTGTGAAGGAGCCGGGCAGTGCTCTAATCCCTGCACTACATACAGGTGAGGACCCTGAGGCTCAGAGACCTTGGGCAACATAAGAGGTCACGAGGTTGCTAAGTGCCTCCTGCACTATTCAAACCAGTCCAGGGTCCTAGATCTAGGATATTAGGATTTCATAATTTTGGGGTTGTATCTGGTGATAAAACGAATAGATAAAATGAAACCTCTGTTACACACTGGCAACAGAGAAACTTCAAAAAAGCCTCAATCAGGTCTGCTTCATCACAGAAGAAAATGAATGATAGGCATTTATCCTTTGTTATGGGATGAATTGTGTCCCCTCCAATTTTTTTTGTTTTTTTGTCTGTGTTGGGTCTTTGTTGCTGCACGCGGGCTTTCTCTAGTTGCGGCGAGCGGGGGCTACTCTTAGTTGCGGTGCATGGGCTTCTCATTGCGGTGGCTTCTCTTGTTGCGGAGCATGGGCTCTAGGCATTCCGGCTTCAATAGCTGCGGCACACGGGCTCAGCAGTTGTGGCGCATGGGCTTAGTTGCTCTGCGGCATGTGGGATCTTCCTGGACCAGGGCTCGAACACGTGTCCCCTGCATCGGCAGGTGGATTCTTAACCACGGCGCCACCAGGGAAGCTCCCCCCTCCAATTTTATATGTTCAAGTCCTAAACCCACCAGTCGTTCAGAATGCGACTGTATTTGGAGATAGGGTCTTTAGAAAGGTGATTCAGTTAAAATGAAGTCATATAAGTGGCCCCTAATCTAATATGACTGGAGTCCTTATAAGAAGAGGCAATTAGGACACAGGCACACACAGACGAAAGATCATGTTTCTTTCTTTTTTCTCTTTCAAAGAGAAAAAAATGGCATCTACAAGCCAAGGAGAAAGGCCTCAGAGGAAATCAATCCTGCCTATACCTTGACCTCAGATTTCCAGTCTCCAGGGCTGTGAGAAAATCAGTTTCTGTTAAGGTGCCTACTCTGTGGTACTTTGTATGGCAGCCCTAGCAAACTAATGTACCCTTCAGCTTTATGTATCTGAAAGGTACTTTCTCTATTTCATGGATCATCTAAAAGGGTCAATCAGACAGTGACTCAGCTTGCGTGCACCATTTTCAGAGAATCAACTACGTAGTCAAGAAAACATGACTTGGATGCACGTTTTCCCAGATGTTGAGTTTTCTTTTCAAATGAATGAATTCTGTTAAGAGTGAAAAGCTTGTTGACTTAGGCTAATCCTCCCGGTGTTACAGCTCTGAACGATGCTCTGAACGATATCTGATGCTTGCACATTTAAAAAATTGACAATCTGACAGTTTGTTCTCCTAAGAGGATCAAGAATATGTGGAAATAATGTCAAGAAGATACTCAACTGAGATGAGAATCAGGATATGTTATTTTGTTAGGTCTTTCCGAAGAAGTGACCTGAGCCAGTGGCAGGACTGAAATCCAAGAGTGATGTTCTGCCTCCCTGTGAACTTGGGTGACTGGCCCCGCCTTGGCTACCACATGAAAGGAGCAGAGTTCTCAGGCTCGACACAGAGCAGAGTGCCTAGGGTGGAACTCAGCCTCCCCGACCAATTCACCCCCTGCGCTCCCTGGACCAGCTCTGTGACCTTAGGTGAGCCCTGGACCCAATCTCCTCATCCATGACGGGGGATAAAAAAGGACCGTGATGAGGATTAAGTGCAAACACACATGTGAGAAGTATGTAAAATAAATTATAAAGAACTACACAAATGTAACTTACCACTGATATTGTTTAAGTACATGCAGGATTACTAGACCATGAATCACAAGATATCTAATTCTATGACTTATGTCTATTTTTCTATGTATGTTACACTTGATTTAAAACATTTATTGGAAGAAAAGATTTCTAATCCTGTGTCTGCTGCACGGTAGCATTATCACTACTTGTATATATATGGACACTTCCTTCTAAGGGGGGCTTTAGCTTCCTTACCTGTAAAATGAAGGTGTTGAACTTATGTGCCTACCTAAATGCTGTGATCTATTTCTCATTGCTCAATGTTTGATAATATATAATCATTATATATTTTTTAAGTGGAGACTTTTGACTCATACGTGAGGACACGTGTCTGATGTGAAATGCCTAAGGTCAAAGAAAAAAAGGGTTTGCGAGATTCCTGGCTGTTCTGTGACTAGGTTATATAGGGAATCCCAAATAATTATTGGATGTTAGAAGGGAAGCTCTGACTGGGAGACACTCTAGTGGATGAAAGCGCTCTGTGAATTTCATGCATTAAAAAATATAGGGCTCCAAGTGCAACTTCTATTTACATACAATATAAGTACTTATGAAAAGTTCAGAATACAATCTTCCGTGATCCCTAAACTCTTCAGCCAGCTCTGTGACCCAGCACAATTTCCTACATTATAAGCAGTGGAAGGTACTGCTCTTCATTTCTAAGGAGGAGGAATGAGATAAAACAATGACAGAGAATTCAGGCCACATTTCAGATAAATGTTTCATATAGAATTACTTAGATACTGGGACATGTTTTCTTTTCCCGTTTTTGTTTTGTTTTGTTTTGTTTGTTTGTTTGCTTGTTTAGGTTATGGCACATGGGATCTTCGTTGTGGCGTGCAGACTCTTCGTTGCAGCATCCTAGGCTTCTTAGTTGTGGCATTCGGACTTCTTAGTTGCAGCATGCGTGTGGGATCTAGTTCCCCAACCAGGGATCAAACCTGGTCGGCCCCTGCAGGCCGTTCCCGGGCCCCCTGCATTGGGAACGCAGAGTCTTACCCACTGGACCACGAGGGAAGTCCTGCAACTGACTGGCAATTGTTGAATACAGTATTCTGTATATGCCTATGATGTCAAACCGGTTAATTGATTATTCAGATCTTTTGTATCCTGACCTAGTTTTCTTCTTGCTCTATTAATTTGATAGCAAGTTGTTTTAATACCTCCCACTGATTGTGGATTTTTCTATTTCTCCTTGCGGCTTTATCCATTTTTGCCCTTCTTTTTAAAAAATAAGCTATTTTACTATTTTGAAGTCTTATAATGGGAGCATACAAATTTCTAATTCTATCTCTTGTTGGTAACATTATGGGACGTTTTCTTTAAGAGATATTTTAAATGCTGAAAGAGTAATTTTATTCAACTTACAAGTGAAAATCTGGGAAATGCAGAAAAGTATAAAGAAGGAAAAATGCACCCATAATTTAACACCCGGAGGTAAAGTTTTGACGGAAAGCCTCACGACATACATTCCGAGGCCTCAACCCACCCCAACCCACCCATCAAAATGGGCAAGAACAGCAGACCTTTCTTCTCGCCCTCTATCCTGACATCAATCCCACTCCTATCTTATTCCAGAGAGAATTACAGCTGGCTGCATGACAGTGGCTAAGTCCCTCACCAGACTTCAGTTACCGCATTTGTACTATGAGATACTACCACCTCACCTTTGTTAGAAAGATACCAGTGACCTGAATGCTACGCATCGAGCACCTTTCTCACACCATGTACAGTGCTTAGGGCTTCCACACACCTCATCTGTGAAAACGCTTTGTAAACCTTCAAGCGCCATTCAGACTACAGTTAGGGTTACTGTGAATTCTTGATTTATCCTGATGACAATTTCATCTTCTAGAAAGAAGAGGAAGCATAGGGAGGCAACCAGACCTAATTCTAAACAACGAAGAATTAGGGAGAAAGTGACAGTATCATGTAGGAGTTTTCTTTACAGTTAGAAGCCAGAAGAGACCTACACCTTTCCCTGGTAGATCTTTCTAGACCCGATTCATAATATTCCACTCCAATTCTTCTCAAACTCTCAAGTTTCCTGCATGTTCCCTGACAGCATTTGCATCATAAATGTGCTAAGCACCAATCATAAGAATGTAAAGGGTCCGCAAAATGAGTGTTCTGTGCTCTATGAGATCTGACCCCAGAGTCCAAACATGTGGAAGCTCCAATCCGAAATCTCTCTCGTGTGCATGTGTGCGCACACGTGAGCGCACACACGTCCTGCATGCCGCCCCCACTAGCTCTGCAGATTCTCAGCAGACATGTCCTCCCCCTGCAATGTACTCTGAAGGTGCAGTCATGAAGCTTTGTCTCTGGAGGCTTATAATTGAAAAGGGCACAGAGTGCTTGTTACCAGACCCCTGGTGCCAGATCCTGAGGAGTGAACCCTGGAGACGAACCTTAATTACAACTCCCTGCAGCGGGCTCACCTGTTTTGCTGTTTCAGTGACGGCAGCGGCCTCAGCCTTGCCCAGTTGCTGCACCATCTTGTAAAATAGGCTGTCTCTATTTTGTAGCAAAACATATGGCTCATCATATTCTTTCAGTCTCCCTGAATCCAAAACCTGTTAATCAGCAGAAAGAAGCCCATTAGCACACAATGTTTTGCAGTAACGTATTATAACTCAGACAATATTTCCGAAAGGGGTGAGACAGTGAGAATAGAATCTATTTGGGTGGTAGGCCTGGCTGGTGTTTAAACGGTTTGATTACCCTGTTTTACTAGGCAGACAAAGGCCTAACCCGACCTTTTATTATTATAATGTTATAGGAAGAAAATGAAAGTTTTAGACTATGATTAGGGGCACTCAGCAGTATGTGGCATTTTATATTCTGCCCAGGGCATTTGGGGTTGTTATCATTAGTTAGTGCTTTTAGCTCTCAGACTCTTGAGCTTTGAGGGCTATTTATACAGATATACAGAGCTGGGAAATTTCTTGATTCAAGGAAATCAAACTCAATTTAGCAAAAAATTAGGGTGATGTCATAGAAACTGATGGCAGAGAGCAAATGAACTCCCGAGTTGGTTGCACAGAATCTGAGCAATTTTGGGGACAAAAAGTAAATGCTTCCGGAATTTCCTTAGGGCCCTGGAATATTTCAGCTAAGTGGGGATAGAATCTTTTGCCAGAGAGGTTAAGGTGCTTCTTGAAGTTAGCTTTGGTAGTAGCTTATCCTCCTGAGAGTGAAAAGCTGGCAACGAGAGCTGCTACCTAAACAGCTTTAGCAGAATTGCTCTGCACAGAAGAAAATCTCTAGAAATCCAATTTTCTCTTTGGATAAGTCTAAAGAAGCAATTAAGAAATTGAGCTCCAAATTCCAGTGATCACGGCCTGCACAGCACACGGGGGCAGCCCAATCTGAATTGCCAAGGATCTGAATCTGTTTTCACAAATTATCTTTCCTTGCTTCTTGTTCTTTCTTCAGCTGCCTTCCTTTCACCCATTTTATTGCTCATTAATATGTCCACTAATTGGAAACTGAAAGGAAGAGGAAAGGGCTCTTAACTCTGCCTTTCTACTTATTAGTGGCTTTGGTTAATGGTTTCAGAGGGAAAAAAAGAATCTGAAATAATTGGCCCAAATGACATACCTAGGAAAACAGTTTTGATGTTAAGTGGTACTGAGTTCTTCATTTAGATCATATTTAGAGTAAATGTATCTTAAGAGAATACGATGAAACTCTAAGCAGGACACAGGTTGTTCTTCCACATCTAGGTATTAACAGTTAATTTGGTCCCAGGGTATTCAATCGGAAACATTTATTAACTCTCATAAAGGCCATTTCCCTGTTAAACTTTTACTGCTAAGAATCACTGCTAACAGCAGGTCTCTCAAAAGAGTTTAAGAATCACTGAATCTGTTACATCCAGATAATTATTAAAATGTCGTATAATTTGGCATGCCAATTTGGATGCCCTGAATGTGTAATTTTACTTATGCGTAGCATTATAGAGCATAACCATTCCTCCTGACAGTGAAGGAAAAAATGCAATTTTAAAACATAGGTCTCTCTCATGCCAAAGACAAAGTAAATAATTATATCAAATTACTTCATACAACGAAGAATTTACATTCTTCAAAAGCAACAACTTTTAAAAACCACCACTTCAGAGTTGGTGGAAATGAGTTCTCTGACTATAAAGACTTTATATAATTTTTAGGGGAAGTATTATTAATATTTTGTCCTTGTCCAACTTTCTACTTTATTTACTAAAATTTGAATGAATAGCAAATCTTCTCATTTTCTTTCATATTGTCTAAAATACACGATTCCACTGAGATGAGTAGTTCTCAGGACTGACTAATATCTAAGAAAGGCAAAGCGAGAAAAACATTAACACTCTCAAAAAACAATAGGATTGGGCTTCCCTGGTGGCGCAGTGGTTGAGAATCCGCCTGCCAATGCAGGGGTCACAGGTTCCATCCCTGCTCCGGGAAGATCCCACATGCCGCAGAGCAACTAAGCCCGTGCGCCACAACTACTGAGCCTGTGCTCTAGAGCCCTCAAGCCACAACTACTGAGCCCGCACTCCTAGAGCTCGTGCCCCGCAACAAGAGAAGCCACCGCAATGAGTAGCCCCCACTCGCCGCAACTAGAGAAAGCCCGCGCACGGCAGCAAAGACCCAACACAGCCAAAAATAAATAAAATAAATTAAAAAAAACAAAAAAAACAATAGGATTAACAATATAAATGGCAGAAAGATCTATTTTGACCCTTATAAGCATAAGCAACGTAATGACAACGCATAAGGACAGTTTTCAAATTTTTTTGGTCGGGGGTGACAAATAGTTTCTGGTTTTCATTCATCTGGGAAAACATTACTAAAAAGAGGTCTGAGTTGAGGAAGAAAGGCAAAGAATATTAAACTGTAAGACTGTCTATAAACAGAAGACGTGGAATCCAAGTTTCCTGGCCCTGGTGTTGGTTCTTCATCATCCATTTCCAAAGAATTCTCTAACTGCAGACAGTGAAAATGTTGAACACAGGCAGCAATATTGTTCGAGCAATTGCAGATTTTCACATGCTTCCTTTGCTCACACTTCTGGGGAGAATCCACAGTGATATGAAGACTGGAGTGTGCAGGAACTGGAGGGAAAAGCTGTGCTATTGGCTGAGGAGAAAACAGGTCACAAGCAACCAGCTAATCCTAAAAACTACAGGAAGAAGCCTTTAATGTAGAGATAGTTGTTGAGTCTTAGGAGGAAGAGGATTTCTGATTTGTCTGTCCTGCTCCACTGTTTTGTGGCAACAGAGAAAGTAAGGAAGATTCCATCAGCTGTCATTATGACTCCATCATGTTGAATAAACTTAAAATTGAGAGAACAGGGCTTCCCTGGTGGCGCAGTGGTTGAGAGTCCGCCTGCCGATGCAGGGGACACGGGTTCGTGCCCCGGTCCGGGAGGATCCCACATGCCGCAGAGCGGCTGGGCCCGTGAGCCATGGCCGCTGAGCCCGCGCGTCCGGAGCCTGTGCTCCGCAACGGGAGAGGCCACGACAGTGAGAGGCCCGCATACCGCAAAAAAATAAATAAATAAATAAAAATTGAGAGAACATCTTTGCAAAATAGAATTTTTAGCCTGACACATTAACGGTGCTTAATGAACCCAAACTGGGTAAATCCATTTGGAGAGCCAACACATAAACATAGCTATTAACTAGGTCACAGTTGTTTCCCAAGAAGCCTTTTGCTGAATTTACTTACAGTAAACAAAACCATAACCATCCGACTTTGTGCAGAAGTATTCACCAGTGCAACAGAATGTAATTATTACACCTTAAGCACTTGTAATTACATGACTTTATGGTGATAACTCTGTTGGTTATGCCCTTCATTAGCATCTGTCACTTCCCCAGCTACTCCCCGAGGCTGGCCGCCCACCCTCTGGAACATCAGGATTTGCAGCAGATTGACTTGTCTTTATGCCCTTAAAGCTTTAGGAACAGACAATCACTTGCTTTCTGAAAAGGAAACAGGAAGAGGCATCCCTCGCAGATTTGGGGGGTTCAGTTCCTGAACACCACAAAGATATGAATATTACAATAAATTGGTTCACATGAATTTTCTGGTTTCCCAGGGCACACAGAAGTTATGTTTATACTACATGGTAGCCTATCAAGTGTACAACAGCATTATGACTGAGAAAACAATACACACACCTTCATTTAAAAATGCTTTATTGCTAAAAAACGCTAACCACCATCTGAGCCTTCAGCAAGGCGTAGTAGTAACATCAGAGATCACTGACCACAGATCACCAAAACAAATGTAATGACAGTGAAAACGGTGAATGTGAAATCGTGCTGAGAATTACCAAAATGTGACAGAGACATGGAGTGAGCACATGTGTTGGAAAAATGGCACCGATAAGCCTTTCTCGCCTTAGGGTTGCCACAGACCATGTGCTTCACAGATGTTGTAAAAAATGCAACATCTGAGAAGCACAATTAAACAAGGTATGCCCGTATTTCTAAATCAAGCAAGCAAAAGAAAATTGCCACAGAAATCAAAGGTGTGGGAAAGAACATTATTTATGAGATTTTTGCAAAAGTGAAAGCCAACTGGTAATCGGGAGCTCCAGAACAACATAAAAGGTTTACGCCTAGGGTGGATGGGACCACAGAGAACAATTCCCCAGCTCTGAAGCTAGGGGATGCACGTCTCTTGGGTCCCCTGAGGTCTAAGGAGTCAGCAACCGCAACCAGCTTGGACCAAGATGTAAACAAGTGGCCATGTTTACATTTCCTGGTGGGACCTCCCTGCAACATCACCGATGACCTTGACCAGGGAGCCCTAAACTGAAGGTCTCCCAACACAGGAGTGCGAAGGGCAGCTCCACGGTGAAGGGCAAGGTCCGCCACAGAAAACAATGTTGGTCATCACAAAGGTGACAGGTTCCGATGAGAACCCTTGCACGTCCCTTCTCCCAATGGACTCCTCATTCCCCATTCACTCAGATGATCAGGCCAGAAACCAGCATCGACTCCTCTCTCTTCCCTCGGATCCCACGTTCGATCCGTCACACAGTTCACTTGGCTCCGTTTTGTTGCCTATCCCAAATCCAACCATCTCACCATTCCCACTGCTAGCACCTTAGTCTAAGCCACCAATATTAAAGGAGAGGGCAAAATTATACGAGAGTGAAAACCGCGTTTGGAGAACTGAAAGACCATCAATGTGGTTTTAGCTCTAAAGGAAAGAGCAGAGTGAGACAAAACTAGAAAGGTGGGGAGGGGCCGAGCTGTAAACCACTTTGTAAAACCATGTTAAGGATTTGTTCAGAAAAACTGAGAGAAAAATTTGAGACTACAGAAATTTACCAGAATATACTGGTACATAAAGCATTAAACAAATGGACATATTTTGATAACGGCAACAAAGCTGATTGGCTAAGGTGATACAGATGTTCACACCTGTGGATCAAGTGCTGATGGATAAGATTTAGGAGTGACCAGCTGACATGTCTGCAAATTCTGTCCCTTCTCACTGTTTCTTTAACCCATCTTATATTCCACGGTGACAGTATTTCTAATGATTAGATAATAAAAGAAACCAGCTACCATAAATGCTGTAATACCAAAAACCAAACATTGATCTCCAGGTTACATTTAGGAGCAATGATTAAATTCAGTGGATCCCCCAACTGAACTGGATGGTGATCAAGCCACCATTCTGCTGCTGCCTCGAAATACTGACAAAGGGCTTGAAATAGGTAAACTACACAGCATCATTCATTTCTTGTGGAAGATGCTTTGAGGGACAGTCTGGAAAATACAATGCTGAGACATGAGACCAACAAATCGAAAAGTAAAGAACAGAAATAAAAGGATACTTTTCCAGTTGGCATTTAAGAAAACAAAATGAGGGACTAAGGCTGATCCATGCTAAACAATGTTGCTGGTTTCTAAATGTCACTGTCCTGTAATCTTGGAATGTCACCTGGTCCCGCACAGAAGACTGCCGGTGGGGCCTGCTTCCTACTGTGGTGTGCTAGTCCAGATGACCAGACACACTGCTTGGAGTCCAGAGCATCCCTTTGGTTGGGGATGCCCCACTCCTGTCGTCTGCCTCCCCAGAGCTCACTCCTGTGCACGTCCAGCTCGGGGGAGGGAGGCTAAGGGCGTCGCTTCAGTGCTGACAGACTGGTCAGGTCCCCCACTGAGGATCCCACCTGACAATGCACATGAAGTAGGATGGGAGGCGACATTCCAGAAACTGCCCAAGAAGTCAAAAGGGACACCTCCATTATCACTGGACACAAGGGACTTTGGGCATCACTGATCGTATATTACTATCATCTGTTTAGTATGGACCATCAAAATCACTAGTCAACTGCATCTGTTGCCTCTTATGACTTGTGCAGGCTTTCTTTATCTATTTACTTCATCACTAATCAGCATCACTGGATATGGTGGTACCTTGTGACAACAGTTATCATCTGTAAGACGAGCAGAACCAGCTCATTGCCACAGGCTGGGGGTTAGCCTGAAAATAACTTGCATTCTTTTGGGCTTATTTGCAGTCAAAGGTTTTTCCTTTGAGGGATGATTATCTTATCATTTTATAAAGCCACACCCTAAGATATATTGACACTCAACAAGCAACAGAGGGAAAGGACAAAGAGAGAGAAAAGTAAAAGAGGGAGGAAGGAAGGAAATAAAGCTAAATAAATAAACATTAAGTTACTAAGAAAGACAGAGCCAATCAAATCTGGAAGGAAGATACTAGACAAATATACAGAGACCAAAGCTTGGAGTCGGCTATGTGCACAGTGCCCAGATCTATTGTGAAAGAGACTTGCTAGTTAGGTCTGCAGATCTGTCCTAGATAGTTGCTTCCTAACATTACTTACACAGTGTTCACTTTCATTTTCCCATGCCTCCAATTCCTATGTAGTGAAATTTCCTAGATTAAATCCGTTCTGTTGAAATACTTTCTTTTTCTCACTAGGCCTTTCTTCTCATAGACTCCCCTCTGACAGGAAATCTTGTGAAAGTCCCAACAGCTGAGAAATTCTGCAACCTTACCCAACAACCTCTTGGCAGTCTAAATGAAAGGCTAATTTTTTGATTAAGGGAATCTAAAAATCTGAAAAAATAACTGACAAAGGAAAAATGACTGTGTTCTAGAACACTGAAGTATGAAGCTGTGTCTTGGATTTGGCGTATTTTCGTGGTTGGCCATCTTAATGAAAAATAACATTTCAAATAAACTTTTAATATGAAAATACGCAATTACTGGATATATTATTTAATAGCATATTCTGAAAGTGTAGGTAAGTACTTGAGCTACTGTCAGGAATGAGAGGAAAACTTAAGAGAAAATTAACTTATTGGAGGTTCCTATCACGTTTTTTAAGGAAGGATACATTGACAAAACTGAACATAAATGGGAATGACTGATGTTCCACAGGTGAGGGTCTTACCATTATCCTGTCGCTGTCAATAATGGTGTTCAATCTGTGTGCAATGGTTAGCACAGTGCACTGGGCAAATTTCTCACGGATTTTTTTTTGTATTAACTCATCAGTTCTGGAAACAAAGAAGCTGAATTTAGTTCAGTAAAGACAGAAATAGCGACTGAAGACTTAAAAAAAAATCACATTTTTATAATGTTTTAAAAAATCAATACTTTAAGACATAATATTGCTCTTCAAAAACTGAGTATAAAAAGTCTCCTGGGCTTCCCTGGTGGTGGGCCAAAAAAAAAAAAAAAAAAAAAAAAAAAAAAAAAGTCTCCTTACAAGATTTTTCATAAAACAATGTAAGATAGTCTGCCCTCGAAATTACTTGAAACTATCAGAAGCTGGATTTAGGAATCTAGCTCTCTTAGGATGCCTAATAACATTAACACCATATAACAGGTTTTGATTTCTTCCTTTGTTTTCTGCAATTAATGTTATCAAGAGAGATCTGTGGGGAAAAGAGAACGCTTAGAACATTTCTCAGCCACATTAAATGTCTTCCATTTACCACATTTAAAATTCAGATTCCAAGTTTCATGGACCTCAACTCTATACCTTGGATCCACATTTGCTGTGGCTTCATCAATAATCAATATACGATTTTTCCTGAGAATAGCCCTGGCTAGGCACACCAATTGTCTCTGTCCAACACTAAAGTTCGATCCTGATTCTGCTAATTCAGTATCCATTTTACCAGGAAGATCTTCGATGGCTTCTTTAAGTTGTACCTGTGGATACAGAAAGAAGAATGACATTTTCCTAAATGAACTACTAATGAAGGAGACAAGCCTTTTAGACATTAGAGCTTTGAAGTCCTCAGGACTTCTTATGTACATGTACAGCCAGGTGATGGGAAGAGCTCCTTCCAAGTAGCGTTCACTGAGAAAGATGGTAGAGTCAACTCAGGACAGAAAGATCTCAGTGTCCCCCATCACTGCCACATGACACCCACCAGAAACCCCACCTAGGGATTAGTTAAGGAAGTCTCTCAAAAAATAAAGCTATTTCTCCCAATGTGATCTAAACAGGATCTTTAGGGCTGACAGGAGTCAGTACACTACAGGGAAAAAATTTTTTTAAATTATTGTGGTAAGTATGGTTCTCTTGAGACATAATCTCATCAGCACTTTACCATGTTGGAAGGTCTAAGGGTTTAAAAAAAAAAAAATTCAAACTATGACAAACTGTACCACAGTAAACCTTGAGCCTATTTGGGGGATGCTTCTTTCCCAAGTTTAACACCATACTGCTAGACCAGTCAAGGGTATTTACTTCAATTTCATTAATGAATGAAAACTCGTGAAAAACAGGACACAACATAGTTTTATTTTCCCCAGACTATGGGTATAGATGGTGTTTAAAGCAGTGGACTGTTATAAGATTAAACTGTACTACAAGATTAAAAAAACAAAAACAAAAAAACCCCCAACTTTTAACTGCCAAAGATAATCTGCCTTCAGAAACCAGAATTACTGGCAAGAAAAACTGTAGGGCTGAATCAGCTTGCTCAGAGTCCAAGCTCATCCATATAAACTGCAGATTTCACAGCTAACCTTGGAGAGGTGACACTAAATGACAAAACGTACAAATTCAAAACAACAACAATGTGAGCAATTGGTCACTGGGATTCACACAAAAACAACAACAATAAAAACGCAATTTTTTAAAAAAATAAACAAGCCACACTTCTCTGAAGAGATCAAGCAAATATTCAGTAACTGTTTATTAAGTGTTTACTTTCTAAAAGCAAAAGACTGCGCTAGGTTGTATGAGGAATTAAAAACCCACGTATGGTTTAGAAGTCTAGGTATAGTTTCTGCCATCAGTAGCTTAGAATCAACTTTCAGAACTAGGGCACATGCACAGAATAATTAGTATTAAAATATACAAACCAACAGCACCCTACCATTCAAAATCCTTTTCATGCAAGAGTAAGGAAATTCAAAGAAGTGGTCCAAAGTGAAACACTACACAAATGAGAGAAAATCCTCTAGAAGTGAACATATCCATATAAAAGCTGAGCGAAAGGGCCAGGGTTCTGTGACCTGCATTCATGCTGCAGCATTAAAATGACATGATTGCCAATTAATAATTATTATCACATTCCAAATGTATAGTTCACCTTTATACAATTTTTTCCCTAAAACTTCACAGCATGTTATTAGTATGATTTCAATTATCTTTCAGTTAATAATGAAAAACTATCATTGTATCCACTTAGTAGATGTTCCCTAAGACCAGAGGGATAAGATGAATGTTGCAGGGTAATTAGGATAATTAATTCACTAGGTCACTATTAGAATTAAAACCCATAATTTTAACTTCTGGTTTAGTGTTCTGCTAAGGACAAAATAATCTATCTAGTTGCTTTGGGTTCTAGGGCAAAAGCTAAAAAGCATGATGCATTATGTCATTGGTTTTCATCATCATCAGTACACACATTTTAACTGCACCACGTCATCAGTATTCTCCTAGGAGGTAAACAAAGTCAGTTAAACCTATAAGCTCCCCTTAATTACCTGCAATGCTATAAATGCCCATCCATATATACTGATGTTAACAAATTAATTACATTTTATAAATTACCTCTTCTAAGGCATTCCACAGTTCCTCATCCGTATGCTCATTAAAGGGATCCAGATTTTTCCTCATTGTTCCAGTGAATAAAACAGGTTCCTAAATGCCACAAAATAGGGAGTGTTATTACTGTAGCTTATTTTCATTTTACACGAATGCTTACAGAAAATAATTGAAATACAAAAGAAAAATTCACTATAATCATTAGTAATAAGGTTGCAAATGCCTCTTTACAAAATTTTATCTCTATTAACTTTCCATTTTATAAAATGTGCTCCAAAATATCTTCCAGACCACTGAACACTAATAACAGAAGAAAGTGTTGAAATGTGTCACCTGAAGAAATAGAAGAAGAGAAAGACAGGTTTGATTTTTTTTTTTTTTTAAATGCCTTCCTGGTAATATCTACTTAAACAGAAACAAACGAAAAGGAAAGAGGATATAATTATTTGAGGAAGGTTACATCAAGAGCTATATAAGTTAACTGCCAATCCTGGTAGGATACTGGAAAATGCCAAGAGCATGATTAGTTGAAGTTTGTGGCTCAAAGCAGAATTGCTAAATATTTGCACGTTTGAACTAGAATATTTTCCTCATTCCTGAAACAGCCTTCAGGGATAGGGAATCTCTCCACATGTGTGAATGGAACATCTCCATATGTGCAAAGAGAATGTCAGCTACTGGGGCCTGTGGCACCTCTGGTTCATGAGGATTTGGCCTCTGATTAGGCATCAGCTGATCCCCATGTTCTCTCACCCGTGCATCAGGATTACATGCTCACAGAACCTCATTATTAACTGCAAGGCCAGGATGACCTGAAACCCATTGTGACCTGTGTCATAATGAAACTATTTTGATTTAAATAGCTCTTCCTATTCATCTGCTTCAGGAGGAACAACAAGGAAATTACTCTGCAAATATATGCCTCTTGCTGGGTTTCAAGAGAGAATCTTGTATGTAAACTCATGTAGGCCTCTTAAGTTTTCTTCTGGAAGGCTCTAGTAAGCCAGGGCACAAGATTATTGGCAACAGAGAAGAGCCCAATGGTCTTGGGGCTGGACTATTCCTCCTCACTTCACAAAAGCCTGAGAAGAAAGGAGACAGCAGACATTGCTTTTCTCTGCCCATGAAGAATGACACTCAGAGAGCCTCCTGTACCTACTTTCCCTATTGTCTTAGTTTTAAGTCTGGTGAGAGAGAAATGCCTGAAAACACAAGGGTGTGCCATGGAAAAGATGCATGCCTCAGCAAAATCCCAAACTGAAGACATTATAAAGGCAGCTTTCTTTGCACAAAGTTGATCAAGTGGCCGATACACTCCAAAAGCACGGAAATCACTGGGCGTACGATGTTTCAAAATGATTACTGAATTGAACTGAAAAAACCAAGACCCAAGCTCCTCGTCAGGGGAATAACTATCATTCTACTTCAGAGTTTTATAAAAAAAGGTTTTTTTATTCTTTGTAATTACCAACTCTAAGATTCTAAAAAGCCAGGCGATTTTTCTTCTTTTATCTGTGCCCGTGAGGTTTACACTAACGACGTGGCCAGAAGAGGGGAGGCTGGTCCCCAGTGTTCCACCCTCTCCCTTGACTCTTTTCCACATGCACCACTGAAGGCTCTAAACCATGGGCAGGATGCTACTCTGAGGCCCCAAATGAGGGACTCTTCAAGGACTGGTGTTTGAGGAGATAAGGGGGCTGAAAGAGGCCAGGTTTAGGAATTAATTGGATTGAGCCCAACTGGGAGAAGTGAGAGAGGGTATCTGCTTATAGTAACAACGGGACCATTTCTTTGGCCAACAGGGCTTGTACAACCTGAACAATTTTTCCTTCAGGTTCTTCTCATAGACCAAATTCACATGCGGTAAGAGGTCTGAGTTTTTGATGAAGTGCCTACCTGGTTTTCTTAGTACACTCCAGAGTCATTACTTAAGCTAATCTATGAAATAAATTGCTCTCTTTTTAAAAGACAGATCTTTCTTCCTTCCTTGAACAATCAAAGGGCTCATAGTATTAGCACGTTTGTGAAGTGAGGTTTGGGTGGTTCAAGAGAGCAGTCACAGGGACCTCATTTAAAGTTTAATCACAGGCTTCCCCGGTGGTGCAGTGGTTAAGAATCCGCCTGCCACTGCAGGGGACACGGGTTTGATCCCTGGTCCGGGAAGATCCCACATGCCGCAGAGCAACTAAGCCCGTGCGCCATGTGCCACAACTACTGAGCCTGCACTGTAGAGCCCGTGAGCCACAACTACTGAAGCCCGAGCACCTAGAGCCCGTGCTCCACAACAAGAGAAGCCACCGCAATGAGAAAAGCCTGTGCACCGCAATGAAGAGTAGCCCCCGCTCGCCGCAACTAGAGAAAGCCCACGCGCAGCAACCAAGACCCAACGCAGCCAAAAATAAAATAAATTAAAATAAATAAATAAAGTTCAATCACCTATTTCATAATCAGGGCCTCTCTCTATTGTCACTCCCCTCACCTTCTCTTTAGGAAACTCTTTGAAGGGCATGAGTCTCTCCAAAGACTAGGGGACTAAAACGGGATTCTGTGCAGAAGAGGAGTCCCTCATTTCTGAACCCCTGACCAACGCCTGAACTTGGATTACGCTAACCTTTAAACAGAGCCCTCAGACACTCTGTAGGCCTTAAGGGGGTGCCCACTTAAGTCTGCACTGTCAGTCTAAAAGGATATATTTGGAAATTTCACTTCTTTATTTAGCAGCACTAGATGGAAGAAAATTGTTTTCTATACAAGAATATTTCTCTTTGTTATGACATGCCCAATATATATTTCAAAATCAGTAAAATTTCAGTCAAAACTTGTTGAATGAAAAGAATGATTTACTAAAACATTAACTGATTGAAGCTATATTTTTCTTTAAAGCCAGCAGGCAATTTGTGAACAATGTCTGTTTTAATATGTCAATGTGTTTTATGCATGGTGTTCATTTTGGTTTCTACTCATTCTTCTTTCATCCACTTGCCAAATAAGAAAACGTTATATTATCTACAAAAGGTAATAAAATGCTCACAGTAGACACATACTGCAAGGGCAGATAAGGGTCAAATTAATGATCATTTCTGATAGATACTATTATTTAAAGTACCCACCTCGAAGCAATGAAGTTAATAAACTAATTGTATAACTAAGTGTTGTAAAAATGTTTGCATGCAGAACACTTCAGTGTAGAGATTTATGGCAGGATATACAAACTTCATGTAAATATACACTAAATTTATTAGCCTAAGAATATTTTTTTCTGAAGGGACACAACTAAACCTCACTTAATAAGAGGTGGCACAGTACACTCAAAAACAGATGCTCTTGTTTAACGTAGTATTTTAAATGCAGCATTAGCTTCAAACCTGTTTTTCATCAAGGTTTAAAGTTGATACTTTTTACATGTAACCCTTTGTGCCATATTCAGTAGTAATTTTTTCCTTGTTACTAACATAACACGAGTTCATATTAGGCTTGGAACCCAAAATTGGCCACTCTGCACCAGAGTATTTAATATAGTAAATTGATAATCCCTCGACACAACTGTAAGACTGAAAACTGCAGTCTTACTGGACCTTTTGTATACGCTGCTGAAAGACAAGCCTCTCATTATCTTACAAAGAAATCCTACTCACTAACAACCTTCAGAGGGTTAAAATGCCCTGGGACCAAGACAAAAACTGTACAAGCGGTTACAAACGTGGGAGGATAAAGCACAATCCTTACCCTAATCATTTCAGTCCCAAACCAGGAAACTGCCCTCTACTAAAGTATATAGAGTAGCTACTGCTAAATATATATATGTAAAACTGAATGTATACTTTGCTGTACACCTGAAACTAATGCAACATTGTAAATCAATCATACTTTGATTTAAAAGAAAAAAAAAAAAGAATAAGTAGCTACTGCTGCTGTTTCCTCCAGTCCTAAAGCTATGTTCTCATTTCTAATCTGAGGACTCTTCTTAAGGGGAAGCTCATCTCCCTGTTTCAAGAATAAGAGAATCACCTGAACTCACTTTACATTTTGGTTTTTCCTTTTTTTTTCTAAATCCTGTAGCCTCTGAATGAACTGATCATCATCCATATTCAGGAGAAAAGGACATTGTTCTCCAACAAAGGAAAAAGAATTTAAGTCCCGTAAAGTCCTCTTTCAGGGGCTCCAGGGAGCAGTTCCAAGGGATTTAATGAAGACTTCAGTGTCAGAAACAAAGGGCCGACTGCATTAGGCTAGAATCCAGTTGTATTTCTTTACTAGTAAGAGCATAGCCACCTCTTCTCTCTTTCAGTTTTGTTCTCAACAAGAGAAAAAGGGAAAGAAAACCAGGTAATCAGCGAGAAGTCAGAGAGACAGCTCTGGTTCACGATCTTCAACCTACTGAAGAAAGCTCAGGGAACAGAAATACCAAAAGAGTTGAGTGGACTGTATTAAAAAATACCTAGCTGTTGATTTGATTGAGAAAAGATAACTTTTAAATATAAAAAATGAATCTGTTTAATCATGATAACGATGTTGGCTGCTGATCTGTGTCAACCCTTGGGCTGCGATCATAAATACTGAATTTGCATGGAAGCCCTCTTCAACTAAAAACATTTTCTTTGTGCCAATAGGACAAAGGGCTCTAGGTGTAGAGATCATCCAAAGAGGTTCTGAAGTCCGTTTTTCCAGATCCTTTCACATAAGCAATCTGCTCCCTGAATATAATCTCACCTTGGTGTTCTTTCTGGGGAACATACTTAATTACTTCAGGTGGTGAGCACAAATGCCACATACATTTCCGCTACCTGTTCTGTTTAAGGAAATTATTTTGGAAGTACTTTCATTTTTTTGCTTATTCCTGAAACTGTGAACACAAACTGAGGAGCACCTTACTAAGAATATAGTATTTGTTTTTGAAAGTTCCATCCAGGACTCAAGGGTTGATTGTCTATGTCACCACTCCCCTGCCTCTGGTTCCTATGCAGGTCTCGGTACTATGGCATCTCCTCCAATTCTAACCTGTTCACAGTGAGGTCAATAGTAATGGGGATGAGCCTGGGAGAGAGAGATCACCCCAGAAGCCCGCTGCTGCACCCAGGGTCACAGAGAGCAGGGAG